TCCGGGTTTGGTCTATTTTATATACATTAACACAGGCTCTAATTTGGGACCAGAGAAAATCTCTCTTATATCCGGGTTTCTCTTATATCCTGGTTACACTGTAGTTATAACCCTAAGCCCAGAAGTGAGAAGCTCTCCATATGTTGATGATTTTTAAATTATGTACAGATCTTGATGTATGAATACCATTGAAAGACAAATCCAAAAATGTCTCAATAAAAAACACAAATAGGCCACTGAAAATGGGTTTGTTTTCTAAAAGGAAAACCAAATGCCTACATTCCTGCAAATTAAGAAAATTGCACAATGAGCCATGTTTAAAATTAGATGGTGTAGAAATCCCAGTTGTGGAACATCAGTTTCTAGGCATTATCTTTGATAAAAAAAAATTAATGTTCGTTCCCAATCTAAAATATTTGAAAACAAAATGTAGCAAAGTCCTACAATTTCTGCGTGTAGTGGCCCATACTGAATTGGGAGCAGATTGACTAATATTGATAAAATTATAAAGATCACTACTTCGTTTCAAACTGGATTATGCTAGTTTCTTATATAGGGTGGCCAGAAAGTTGTACCTACAAAATCCTTGATGCAACCTATCATATTAGAACTCGGGGCTTTTAGAACATCCCCTGTGCAGAAATTATGCACAGAAGCTAATGAAAAACCTCCACATTTACAGTGCACTAAACTGCCATTACAGTACTATGTAAAACTAAAATCATACCTAACTAACCCAGCTTACAGCAGTATCGTTGAACTGAATTACTGCGATCTATTCCGACAAAGAGAGAATGCTATACAACCCTACAGACTTGGGATGAAAGAGTTAGGCACCACACTCTCAAATATACAAGAAACGACTGCAACCAGTATTCCACCAAGAACTATCAAGCAAGCTGAAGTTCTGCTAGAATTACATAACCTCCCTAAACAAAAAAACGCACTCACTCACGTTCCAGGATAAGCTTCAAGACATATTGGCAAACTACCCTAACCATACAGACATATACAGATGGTTCAAAATGTGAGGATAAGATAGGGTGTGCAGCAGTGAGCCAAAATATTACCAAAAAAAGGCATCTCCCAAAGGGAAGCTCTATTTTCATTGAAGAGTCTTATGCAATCAAGCTAGCTCTCAACATTTATCTCGGAGCAAACAAAAAAATTTTCTAATTTTTTCAGACTCACTATCCATCTTATTGGCTTTGAAAGGAAAAAAAATCCAACAACCCACTTATGAAAATATGAGAAATGAGCGCTATTAACAAGCATGAAGACATTAAACTATACTAGATTCCTAGCTACATTGGAGTTAACAGTAATACTGAAGCAGATCTAGCAGCCAAGATGGCTTTAGATGTGAGTGTTGATACAAAGGCCAAAATCCCATACACAGATTTTAAGGAGATTATTAATAAATACATTCAAAAAGAATGGCAATGGTACTGGGATGATAACCCATACAATAAACTCTTTGTAAACCAGTCCAAACTTAGTAGAATGGAAGTCAGTTCCCAGAAAATCTCATAAGAAAGAAGTGGTATTGGCAGGTATATGCATTGGTCATATGAGAATAAGCCACTCATACTTACTAAATATAGAAAATCAACCAGTATGCTAAGCATGTAAAACTGCATATACTATTAAATGTATATTAACTGAGTGCTCGGATCTTGTTCTCTCAAGAACAAAAATATTAGAATATAAATAATGTGTCAGCTGTTTGAGAAAGTAAAAGTGGATGACATCATTTCTCAAAACAGTAGGACTCTGCCAGAAATTATAAACCAAATGAGAATGTCAAAATCAAATTCTACAAACTGTGTATCTGAAGAGATTACATCAATGAAAGCCGACTCTTGACAATAACCCTTTTTATAAAAGTATATCAATGAAACTGGATGTACAGCTTCCTTACAAAGAATATATAATCCATTCATACGAATCTATTGTAAAAATCTTGGCATTAAATAACCCATTGTGGTTGATTATGCCATAAAACAAAACTAATATATTACTAATATACTACTACTATACTACTAATATTTCTACTAATAATAAGTTTCAAAACCCTCAGCTTTTTAGATAAGTGCAATAAAGATTTAAGTAAAAATGGCCAGTTAAAGAGTTGAGTATACTGTGAATCTTGAAGAGTATTCACCCATTTGATTGAAGACAATTTTTGTGAGTAAGACATTTTGCCTTGACTTCTACACAGATTACATACAGCTTTCACAACCATAGATTTGTATTGAGGATGTTTAGATATTACAAAAAATCTTTGATATATATCCTGAGGAAGAAATTGAAAAGTTGCAGGTTTGATTTTTGACTAACAGAAAATCCAACTGTGTTGTCATAGAAAAGTAACTTTATTTCTTGCCAATTTTTGCTAAAATCTCCAAATTGAAAATGGTATCTAGTTAAAAACAATAGCTGTAAAGAAAATAGATTTGAAAAAAAAAAACAAACTTGCAATGACTGTAAAATTGTACAAATGACTGAAATTATTATAAAAATGATATTTTCAAATGAACTTTTTAACAGAAGATAGGACAAAGAAAAAAATTTTAAACTGTCACTAATAGAAAATTAAAGGTTTTTTTTAATTTTATTTATTTCTCTATTCTATTTCTATCCTGCAACAATTGAAAGACTCTATTAATGTCAGCTGAGGGTTTCGTTTTTTTTTTTTTTTTCTTTTTTTTGTAAAATATCACCAAACTTTACTGTCTTGTTGATAATGTTAAAAACATCAAACATTTGATAGAAAATGCAGTTGATTTGTATAGTAATTATTCATTTTTTTTTTTTTTTTTTTTTTTTTTTTTAACTTTGCATGATATTGGAAAAGTGAATTTTACATTTTGAATTCTACTAGAGACTCAGGCTTTCTGTTAATTTTCTCTTTACTGGTAAAATTTAGTGTCACTTTGCTAGGTTTTACTCACGGAAGCTAATCAATGGTTGTTTTTTTTTTTTTTGCATGAAGTGTATCTAACAACCAAATTAACAAGGTTGTATTTTTTTTTACAACATTTACGAGTAAAATAAAAACATTGTATTTCTTCAATTAGCAAATCTATCAGATAAAAGGCATGATGCACATTTAAAAGTGAAGATAAAGGGTAGTTTTTTTTTTTGTTTCATAAAATACAAAAATAACTTTTGATAGTTTATTTTAATTCTGGTTTACCTGGAAACAAATTTACCGATTTAAAATTTTAACCTTTGTAAAATGTTTTGAAATAATTTTCTTTCATTTAATCACTGTTACCTCTATTTTCAAAGATGCCTTTTAATATAGGTCCATGTTTGGCAAACTTGAACCTTTGCACCTGCAAAACAGTGTCAAAAGGACAGTTTTTATTAATGATGCCACCATTATATTAACTACCTTCACTACTGTTGTAACCTAGAAAAGGTTACTAAATGAGGAATAACCAAAACTGAGGTTAGAAATGAAATGGTAATCTTTATAACATCAACAAAATATAATACTTGCTAGCGGCATGAAATAGGTAAACCACTGCTAGTGGTGGACTACTTAGACAGCATATCACTTACCGACTTACAATAGTGTCCAACGTATTTATGAGGATTGGTACATACCTATAAGTGTTCATAGGTATGGTATATAACTACTACTCAGCAATGTTTGTTTTAAAAAGTGATGATTAGAATTGGAATAAAACCTAAGCATATGAAAGTGAATATATACATTTTATTTTTGTTCTTAAGAATTGACAAAAAAAATAATAAACACGATTTATTAGATTGTTTATTTACACTATTATATTATTTATTGGAATGGTTGGCAAAAGATTGGCTAATTGCCAATCAATTCAAACTTTATAAAATGGTAAATAATGTGGATTTCTCATAGTTGGTTCACATATATTATTATTTAGTAAATCTATATAAATAAAATGCAGTGTCTGTCCATCTGTTTTTCGATTTTGGCAAATCATAACTTACCTGATGTAACAGGTAGCATCTACTGTAGTTAGATGTGATTCAAAATTAAATAACTCCTTTAAAGTTAAATATTGAACAGTGAAAGGTTTAAAAAGCAATTCTTTATTAAAGGTTTAACTTTAATTTTGCTTTTCTTCATAATTGATATTGCCTAATTAAACTGTAATTAAAACTTAAGTGGGACATGATATGTCACTCATATATTTATTTATCCTATTATATTATTTATATTGGAATGATTGGCAAAACGTTGGCTAATTGCCAATCAGTTTGAACTTTATAATAGATTTCTTATAGTTGGTTCACATATTTTAATAATTTAAATGTTTATAAATTTATGAATAAAAAAGTTTTCATGTTTATTTCTTTATATATTGGTAAATGATAACTATTGCACTGCATTAGTTCTAATTGTATTAGTTTTTAGAATGTTGTAAATATAAAATTATTGCTGTAAATAAACTAATAAATAATGTTTAATATACTTTTGTTGTAAATTCTCAAGAACAAAAAATGTAGAAATTCACTTTCGTCATAAGTTTAGGAACTTTTACAATTCTAATCGTTTTTTAAAACAAACATTAGTGAAGGTAGGTAAAATAATGGTTCTATCAATGGGTGAAAAAAAACCTTTTTGACACTCGGGTTTTTTTTTTTTTTTTACTTATCCTTACAATTCCTTTCCTTGTGTGTTCTATTTTTTGTTTCATTTTTTAAACATTTTCACGTTTCCTTTTGTGGAGTTTCTCAGATTCTATAAGTGATTTTTGTATTCTTTTTATATTTTGAAAAGAAAGAAAACCATAATAATTTATATAATCCTCCTCCCCCTATTTGTTTAAATGATGCCTTTTATCAAAATAGTAATTTTTTTTTCTTAGTTTTAATTGCACTTTTTATGTTGATCATTTATACTTTTGTAACCTATCAAACATAATCTAAAGTTTCAATGTTTATATTATTTCCATTCTTAGCATCTTACTAATCTTGGAACTGTTTATTTTTAATGCAATTTGCAGAAGAGACAGTCATTCAGATACATCTTCATCTGTATCGCAAACATCATATGATCCATCAAAACCAGTGTTTAAAGAACTCAGCTCAGAGATTCCTGACAGTGAAAATACCAGTACTGATATTCGTGGCTCTTCAGAATTACAAACTTCTAAAGGTGTCACTCTGGTATCGAACAAACCACTTCCAACAGAAAAGGGTAAGAAAAACATTTATAAATGGACATTATTTTTATTTTATCCAAATTAAAATGTCGTTATTTGTGGATTGTTTCCCTTTGAACTGTAGTTATCTCCCTTTGATTTTCCTTCTGCCTTTCTAGTTTCTAGATATTACGCTGCTATCATCTGCATGTTTAGAAATCTTTAAACTCGTAGTTATTAAAAAAAAAAAAGTAATTTAGTAAAATATTCTTACATACTTATTTTCCTAACTCTCTTAAAACTTTTTGCATGCCACTGTTATTGCTTCAATATTTTAATTTCTAATCTTTTGATTGCCTTTTTGTTGTCATTCTAATCTAAATTTTTGCCTAATAACTTTGTCTTTTTAATGTCAGTGATGTTAGCATTTTTTATTTTTTTTTGTTATAACACCCACATTAAGTGGAATAAAATCATGAAATCAAAGCCTTTATCTGAAATTTTAATTGGTAATTCATATATAACATTAAATTAGAATCTGTTTAATATGTTATATTAAGATTATTTGTTGTCTGTGCGTATATGAGGGACTTATGGCCATAGCACATTGAAACACTGGTTCTAATACAATCGCATGTTAAACCATGTCAAGCCTAGTCAATACTGAAATGGATGACTGCCTTGGAATTCCAGGTGCTGTAAACTTGGATATGTGGGTTGTGTAATGGATAACGGCTTGGAATTGGAAATCAAAGAGCAGAAATCCAATTCCAGTTGGGTTTGTTATGCGCAAATATCTTTGAAAAAGGTATCAATCTACCTCTTCTCCTCCACCAGCTATAGGTTAATTAGTAGACTTGTATCAGTAAATCATTATTTCAAAATAAATTCTTAGAAACTAAAAATATTTTCTGGCTTTAGTCAACCTGTAAATGGTTGATAAGCTGTAAAAAAAAAAACAAAAAAAAAACAAATCATTCATTCAATTAGTATTTAAGAGGAACCAATAAATAACCTAAGAAAATATAGCTTATATCACTTAGAAATAAATGTTGTGGAGTTAAATTTCTTCTGCTGCAAAGACAAATACATCAGATATGGAATATATGAACAGAAACAATTCTACATTTAAAGATGCTCATCAGCCGCTAAAGGATTCATGCTTCTGATTTACTGCTCTAATATTTTTAGGCAAATTTATTTACATAAGATTAGGAAGCTATGATTATTCCAGAATGTTTTTATCAAGTAAGAAAAAGTTGACAAGGAGGAAAAAAAAATGTATAATTCATTCTGAGTTTTTCAGATGATAAATCAGATATAAAATTGAATTGTAAGTTTCTCTCAATCTTCCACAATGTTTAAGTCACTTTACATTTGGTTTACGGTCACATTGTTGAAACTCCGGTTACCATATGATCACTGAAGTTAAACAATGTCGAGTCTGGTCAGTACTGAGATGGGTGATCACTTGGGAATACCAGGTGCTGTAAGCTTGGATATGTGGAATTGGTAATCGGAGAACAGTGTTCCAATTCCTGTTGGGTTCGTTATATTCACTTACATGTAAATACCCTTGGGAAAGGTATGAATCTATCTCTTCCCCCAGATATGGATTAATTAGTAAAACTTGTATTGCTGAATCCATTATTGTCTCAGAAAAAAATTTACAACCTAAATATATTTTCCAGCTTTGAATAACCTGCAAAGGGTTGATAAGCTATATAAAATGAATGAATTGGTCACTTTACATCTGTAGTAAATAATGTAGTCAGTATGCTGGTATTATTTTTTTAATGCAAGGAGTGATAGTTTAAAAAAATATGTACTAACCAGTTAGAAATTTAGTGTGTTACTTAATCACATGAAGTTAAATATGAATGTATGTATGTATGTATTAGATGAACTAACAGATTTGTTTTTTTTTTCAATATTTACATTTCAAGTTTTTGAACTTTTTTTTTTTTTTTTTAACCTTCAGACATTTGTATAAACTATTTTGCAACATTCTCATTCCTTGATCCAGAAAGAAAGTCTGTATCTTGTTCATAGGTTTGAAAATGACAAATGAAAGATTGAATTTGTTTGATAATTATTTACTTAACTTCATATGTTTTTGTTTTTTTTAATTTTTATTTTAATTTATTCACCTGTGGATGAAACATTTGCAATTTTAGGTGACTATTTAAAAAAAATAATGTTGGTTACTTTTTCTACTGAATTGTTCAATTAGGATTAATACAAATGAAATTTATCGCTTAAACTGATTGTTATCTTCAGCACCTCAACTTCTGAGTTTTGTAATTGTTCACTCCACTCATCAAGAGGTTTCAGAATTGTACCATTGTATGACTTAGTATAGACTTAGTGATAATAAAAAAAAAAAAAATTTAAAAAAAGAAGCAATTTTTATTTTTTCAGGTTTGAAAGGAATTTTGTTTTGGGTTTTGAAACCTTTGTTAGATATCACTTAAAAAAAAAAAAAAAAAAAAAAATTGTTGTTTCATTACAGATTCCGCATTAAATGTATAAATATGAGATATGGTAAAAGTTAAATAGAATTCAAGAAATATCTTGATAATGGCAAATATTTAATTTTTGCTGCTTCTCCAGATTTAGAAGAAAATGTATTCTTGTCCATGTCAAAATAATTTTCCTCTCTGTCAAATATTTTTTACAATATTGACAGCAAATTTCAAAATTTGCTGTTTAAGGAAAAAAATTCTTAAAATTGGATAATTAAACCATGAAAATTTCCTGTATATATTTTTTTCCACATTTTTTTCTCCCTTTATATATATATATATATATATATATATATATATATATATATATATATATATATATATTAATTAAAGAAACAATCCTATAAATGCTTGATTAGCTTCATGTTGGAGGAATGTGATGGCCACACCATTCCTGGAAGGTTCCAGAATGCTCCTTCAAACAATTCTGGACAACTTGGCCAATCAATGGTATAGTGCATTATCTTACTGGAATATCCATCCCTGCCCCAAATGTGTAATAAATGGTTATACTGAAGTTAAAATATAATGACCACAAGAAGATCCATCTTCTGAAGACATCCCCTAGAACATTCTAGAATCAACTCCAACCTGCACATTGCCTTTTTGACAACTAGGGTCCAATGTCTCATGAGATCTGTGTCACACTCTAAACATGTCATTGGCATGAAACAGTTGGAATCATGACTGATCACAGCACACCCTATTACCAGTTCTCCAGGTTTCAATTTGCACTATCACAAACCCATGAAGGGCACTCTATTTGGTGTTGTGGGATTTTACAAGCACCATGCTGGGTCGTCTTCTACTATATTCTCTAGCAGGTAAGGAATACTGAACTGAGGGCTTGTACCTCCTGCATTGGATTTGGTTTTAGCCAGTATCTCATGTCGGCTAGAGTAGACAATTCTAGCCAGATGACTTTGATCATGAACACTATGGACTGATTGCACTCTTCATGAATGGGTTGGCAGCAATGTCTTCTATCAGTTATTCCTGGTACACACAACATTGAGTGATGTCTTCCATCCATCTAGTTAGTACCTGTTAGGATGATCCTATTTTAACTCTGATAGTTCTTGTTGCCTAGTTGAACTAGTGTTCATCTTGATTCACCAGACATCGGAGCACAAATGATGCAAGTCTAATGAGCTCTGACATCAAAGGTACAGTGATACCATTACATTTACATATTCAAGGACTTTCGGCATGACAGCACACACACACACACACACACACACACACACACACACACACACTCTCTCTCTTTCTCTCTCTCTATTTGATAATAATATTTTTTGTACTATTGGAAAAAAAGTCTCAAAATGAACAAAAAAACCTTAGTTATATAAGGACAGAAGAAAATGATACATAACCTACCTACCAAGCTTGAATAAATGGAACGAGCAGAACAGGGTTTAGGAGAGATGACAAAATGATAAAATTTATTAAGAACTACAAAGGACAGGAAATTGTGGAGAGCTCTGATCTAGTCGACATCTCTGCCTTTTTTTTTTTTAACATAAAGAAGAGACAGTTTAAATTTCTAGGACACATAATGAGGAAAGAAGGCTTGTAAAATTTGATACACACAGGACAGATTGAAAACAAGAAGGTGAGAGCAAAACAATACAAAACCTACCTAATGAATGGCAGAACAAGGTTTAAGAAAGATGACAAAGAGACAAAATTTATTAAGAGCTTTGGAGGCCAAGAAATTGTGGAGGGCTATGATTGTCAACTTCCTGGAGGGAGGTAGCACATCGAAGTAAAAGTTAAGGAAATAGTTTTAAATTTTAGCCTGAGAATCAAAACTGCATATGGTGTTTTTTTTTTTTTTTTTACAATAAGAGTTATAAAAATTTGAATGGAAATGCAACAAAACATCCTGAACTTGAGAATTTATTTTTTGGTGCAGTAAAATGCCAAGAATCAAATTTCAAAATTCTATTTTTATCAGGTAAATTTTAAAATATTTGTTGCAAGATTAATCAAAACTAAAACCTTCAGATGAGATGTGTTGCATTTATTTCTGCCTAATTTTTTTTTTTTAACAGTAAGGTTCACCTTGTCTATACAAGGCCCAGAGGCCACTTGTGGTATCCCTTTACAATAAGGGATAGCTTATATGGATAGGAGGGGAAGATAGGTTAACTCTAGACTTGAATGGGTTAAGATTACAGCGATCAAGGAAACATCCTCTTGGGTGTCTGTTCCACAGACTAGTGATTTGTGCAAAGAAGCTGCTTGAGTAGAACTTACTTCTTGCTGATGGAATACGGAGGGAATATAGGTAGTTTGCTATTATGTAAGTGGCCTGATGGGTCCTAGCTGTGAAGGTTAGACCTAGCAGAACCAAGGAATGTAGTTCATCTGAGCACTTTCCATGGAAGTAGCAACAGAGCAGTCAGAGAGAGATTGGAGGGTGGAAAATGATTCTTTTCCTATAAGGAGTCAGGGATGCTTTTGAACTCTACCAAGGCTAGAAAGTGAGGGCCAAGCAGCTCCTGCCCAAATATGGCCATGCTGGAAAGTGAGGGCCAAGCAGCTCCTGCCCAAATATGGCCATGCTGGAAAGTGAGGGCCAAGCAGCTCCTGCCCAAATATGGCCATGCTGGAAAGTGAGGGCCAAGCAGCTCCTGCCCAAATATGGCCATGCTGGAAAGTGAGGGCCAAGCAGCTCCTGCCCAAATATGGCCATGCTGGAAAGTGAGGGCCAAGCAGCTCCTGCCCAAATATGGCCATTGTACTGTTGAAGAACTTGAAGAGTTACCGTATAATTTCTGTAGTGACTAAAATTAGTTTTGTTTTCATAAAATTATAGTAATTTTTCAGTAATTTTAAAATAAAGTTTTAATGTCTAACTTTTCCTACATTAAATGTTGACTGATAAGAAATCAAAAACTGATTAATCTGCTAATCTCATTTTTAATTATTAAATCAATATTTTAAAATGGACTCTTAGTTGTTGTGCGCATGCAGCTATGAGGCGATTTTGTTCTTATTGGTTGAGTATCTGCCAATAAAGAGGGACAGAAAATTCAGCAACACTGCAATCAAACACTGGATCACGACGAACGGGGCATAAACAAGACATCCACATGGGCACACCAAATGTATTAGTTGAACACAGTTGAGATACCAGAAACCCAAACAAGGATGTATGGACATGAAACAACACTGGGTAACACAAACAAAAATCCTTGGTAACAATTGGCAATCCTGTTGTGCAACCAACATGGTGTACTGCCAAGCCCTGCATCTTCCCAGAAAATGTGTCTGCTTTTATGGAGCTGAAAACTTTAGCAATTGGCTAGCAAAGGAATCATTTGCATAGGTAACACTGCTCAGCTCATCATCTGACAATCTCATGGGGAAGCTGGTAAACAGTTTTTTTTAATATGCAGACGTTCCAGGTTTCACACTGTCTCTTTTCTGGCACGGTAGACATGTGCTGGCTTTTCTGCAGAGCCATTAAACATTGTCTTTTTGACCAACGGGGATGGGTACCTTTATCAGTAGCGATTGGCAACTCAGTTTGCATTTTGTTTCCACTACAAGCTAATTTATTAAAGTGTTAAACCTGCAGTAACTGTCTTTTTGTCCAAAAATAGTGAAGCTTAAATTTTTAGGAAACTTATTAAATGTTAATAGGAAAATTAGAATTTATGTAGTTGTCTTTTTTTTTTTTTTTTTTTTTTTTTTTTTTTTCTTAACACCATATTGTTTAGACATTGACTTTTTATTCCTATTTGGAAAATCTGAATGAGTGAATATACTTTAAAGGCAAAATGGAACCTTTCTTCATTGTGAGTCTCTTTTTAACTGATTATGGCTGTTTCTTCTGAATAGAGGATGTAGGTTCCAATCCTACTGGATTACTTATTTTCTTTAATAAGATTTCTCCATTGTACAGGCCTTTAGATGAAATATATGCTGTTTAAAATAAAACACAGCATCTACTCAAATATGGGTATCCACACGCACACACTCTCGAAGGGTGCGATGGATAAATTGTCGTCTATATTATGCAAAAATGAAAATAACACCAACATCTTATTTTAACAGATTTATTTACCAAAATTACACAAAAATATCTTGAACTACTAAAGAGAAATTTATTCAATAAAATCAAAATTGGCTTCAACCACAGCCTTCAGTTGACTTTGGAATCTCCTGCAACTCTTGTGGATGGTCTCCTTGTTTAAGTTGGTGAATGCTGTCATAATCCTTGCCTTTAGTTCATGTTTGGTGTTGAGTTTTGTTAGTCTCTCACACAACTGCACTCCACACATAATAATCAAGGGGTTTGCAGTCTGGGGAGTTAGGTGGCCAGATCTAAGGGGGTGATGTGGTTGCAGAAATTGTCTGACAGCTATGACTGGGTTCTCCTGGCATGGTGCAGAGTCCTGTTGCCAGATACAGGGTCTACAAGCAATCATCTTCTTGACCCAGGACAGCACTACCTCCTCAAGGCACTTGATGTAAGTCTCTGTGTTAAGTCTGAGGCCCACACCAACAAATTCAGTAGTTCTTTTTTTTTATCAGAATGATAAGGGTGAGTTTTCCAAGCTGCAGGTCCTTTTGTCCATTAGCCTCTTTCTGAATCTTCTGCACTGTCCTCAGATTGACACCCAAACACTCTGAAATGTTGGTATTGAAGCTTCCAGTGTGAATGTCAAGCAGTACAGCATGCTGTTTCCAAATTTCTTGTGGAGTGAATTGTCATGGTGCTCTTTTTTTCCTGCAGATGGTGCCCAATTGATACTTCTATGCTGTGTATCAACAAAGTCAAAAACAAACAGTGCACATGCATGAAATTTAAAAATATAAAACTGCGACAATTTACCCATCGCATCCTCTGTGTGTGTAATATATAAAATTTCAGCTTGAATATATGAATAAGGACTAAAGGAAAACTTATCTTAGCTGACATGTTTTGTCCTGAAGGATGCAAAGATTTTGTTTTCTATCTAGTATTTATAAACAAGAGCAACATTTATGCTTTTGTCTATATTTGTAACAAAATAAAATCCTTGCATTTACCTTGATAAAGTCCTTCAGAGGGTGAAATTCATTGGCTAAGATATGTTTTCCTTTTGTCTTTATTCATTTTATATATATATATATATATATATATATATATAAAATAATGGACTCTCTTATCAGTTTTGACGTATGAGGATCTGACAACTTAATTAGGATCTTTGGTGTCCTGTCATCAGACATTCTCAAGACATGACCAGTCCATCGTAACTGAGGCTGTATGAGAAAAGTTTTGATTCCTCCAATGTAATGTAGACCTGTTAAACAGGTCTACATTAGATGTCCTATCTTGAAGGTTAACTCCACAGATGGCACAGAGACAGTTTTTATGGAAAACATCCAGCTGGCATATATGGTACCTGTATGGAGTCCATGACTCTGAGCCATACAAAAGGATGGAAAGGACAACAGCTCTGTAAATCTGAATTTTATTTATATATATATATATATTTGTTCTTTCTTTCTTTTATACCCTGTTAGAGTTAAGTTTATCAATTGAATTTTGAAATTTTTAGTTTACCTTTTTAAATTTTTTGGGTTATTAGTTATACAAATTCCAATTTAAATATAAATATATATAAAGTAATTTTAATATAAAGTTTTTATGAGTAATCTAACATTTGTATTTCAAATTTCATATTTTCAAAAAGATGCCGATTAAGATGTCAACAGCCATTTAATTTTATGCACTCGTTAATGTATGTTAAAAAAATGATTATAAAACTGATAATTGAGCTCTTACTTTTATAAGGTTTTAATGTCAATCTTTAAGTATATTTTTTTTTTATATATTTACCAATAATTTTGTGGAGTTGGTCTTTACACCCAGCTTCATACAGTCCACTACATAATACACTACTACTTGATGTTGCCAATGCAAGGGAAACAACTCTAGTGTAGCTAAAATACCAATACTCTTAGCAAATATTAAAATTTAACAGTGCTTTTAATTCTGAAGTTTATCTTGATACAAAGGTAAGAAAAAAAAAAAATGATCCATACTTTCACCTTAACATATCTTTAGGTTTGTCACGCTGTCTTTTGCTCATGTGTGCTTATAGTTGGTACTATTGTGATCATGTGATTTGGATCACTGCTATTTTGTGCCTCTTTGGTGCACACTGCTAGCAGAGCGGCTATGTTTACACTGTAACAGCAGCAAGAAAACTCTTCAAATTTTAATCACATGACCAAAATAACATCAACTATAAGCACACACAAGCAGAACGAAGTGTGACAAGATATGTTATGACAAAAGTGTGGATAATTTTTTACTTAACTCTCGTAACATAATGAAAACGAAACTCCTAGTATCTTGAGGAAATTATTCTCATAATTAGAATCTAGGAAAGAATATTGTATATAAATTTTAAATGGATTCTTTTATTCGACATTTTTTGTTAGAAAAAAAAGAAAATTACCATGTTTATATTTTGATGAAAATGAATCTAGCAAATAGAGATTCATAGAAAGGTATGCGTGTTCTTTAAATAGGTAATTGAACTTTGTTTTTTATGAAGATGCTATCTCATAGTGATAGCATATTTTGGCTATAGGAGTGATTTCTCTGATGGAAAAGGGATACAGGTTTGATTCCTATCAGGAAGCACATTTTCCTTTAGTATGACTTCTCGATCTAGGCCAGTTGTTACTAATTTCACTGTTTAAGACAATGAAACAAACTGGGATAGTAACTCAAACACTAAAACTAAAAATAATATTTACAGTAATAAGAAATTGTACATATAAAACCTGATAAAGGTTGTGAATTTATTAAAATTTTTGTTTTCTTTTATATCCTTATTAATGTTGTACATCTGTCTATTTACAGGTGAGTATATTAAATTGTGTTTGTGCACATCATATTTTAATAACTTCTTTCACAGGTTTTGGCTTCAGCAAATTTCCTTTCAAGTTTAAAAGAACTGCTTCTGATGATTCTGCAGACAGCAAGGGGGGAATCCAGCTCTTGTCTAGTCGATCCATAGATTCCTTCACAGGCCAGACCAATTTCACTTCGCCAGTGGAGAGCTCCAATGGCGTCTTACTGCTGTCCAGTCGGCCTGTAAATTCTTCATCTGTCTTCTGGAATGGCAGTGGTGAGTGCTACTGTGAAACCATAGCTGCTTTGAGGGTTAAGTGACTTAAGAATGCTAATAACTATAAAAGCATAAATATTTTGTCAAAGTTTTACAAATGTAGCTACCAAAAAAGGGTGTGTCAAAAAGACAGTTTTTCTCTTTTGGCAAATTTTATTGTTTTAAAGATTTTTTTTTTTTTTTTTTTTTTTTTTGAGAATTGACAAGACTATTTTAAATAAACAATCTAATAACTAAATATGGTTTAATCATTTTCATTGTCAATTCTTTAGGAAAAAAATGTATACATCCAGATGTTTGCAAACTATTTTAGTGAATTAATGTGGGAGAGATAAAAAAAAAAACAAACAACAAATACCTGGGAAATGCTTTTTTATTATTATTATTTACTTTTTATAATTACAGTTACTTATCTGAAATTTTCTTATTCTTTAGTTCGTTTTTATAAGTAAAACAATTTTTTGTAGTTATTTCTTTATAATAATAATAATAAATAATACATTAGAGTTGGTTTGCATATTTTTATCTTGTAAATAAAAAAATTATTTGTGTAAGTAAATAATCTAAAAAATAGTTTTTAATATTTTTCTTGTCAATTCTTGAGAAAAAAAAAAGGTTATGCTTAAATCCAGTTTCATATTTTTGGGCTTTATTAAAATTCTGAAAATAGTCTTTTCAAACAATAAAAATTGCTGATGATGTATATAGGAATAGTGATGTAAATAGAAAAAAAAATGTCTTTTTGTTGCATGGTTTCTTGTGGGTGCATTTGTTAAACTTTGACAATATTTTGATACAACTTGGTTTATAGTTTAACATATTGGACTTGATATACTGTTAGCCATCATAAGACAATGGAGAGCATTTTTTTTTTTTTTTTAAATCGCATTCTGGTTGTTCTACTGAGATAGATACATTGGGGGCTGGAGCAATGGATCATCTATAGAAAGGATGCATATACTGTTTTTAATATATTTTTTTTTACCTAAGGGGGTTGTCTATTTGGAAATTATTAATGATCATTTTTTTTTTCTTTTTCTGGTGGTGAGTGAGTAGCAAACTTTGATATGTCAAAAAGTTACACAAATTGATTAGGGGGTGTGGGGGGCAAATGCACTTGTGTAAGCACATAATTAAGTCTACTGTATAAAAAACATCATTTTACAGATCAGTTATTTTTCTATATAATAATCGTCAAGGCACTTAATCCAGTGTTGAATGTTAATCACATACATTGGACATTATGCAGTGAAAATTTCAGATGAAAATTCAGTTAATAGCTAATTATTAAACTACAAATTTATCGAGCCTCCCTTACATATGCACACACAGACAAGGGTTGTTAATTCTGACTAATTCCCAATATATGACCATATATATATATATATATATATATATATATATATATGAACAACAATTTTTAACTCAGTGAGTGTAGGAATTATCCAAATGATTGATCTGTGATTTTGGGTGTGCTATCATATATATATATTACACTATTTACATTGTTTGGACCATTGTCCTCATCTTCGTTGCCATATTTATCACAACGTTTCTGCTGTTGTATGCTCCGGTCTTCTTCAGGTGGTTGGAATGTCAAACTGAACCCCTTTGTTTTGCTCACTGGGGTAGACTGATAACTGACATCCATTAGACATGACACGTGGAACTAGAGCAGTCTACCCCATCAAGTGAAATAAAGGGTTCAATTTGACATTCAAACCACCTGAAGATGTCCAGAGCATACAACGGCTGAAATGTGATAAATATAGCAACAAAGATGAGGATGATAGACCAAACAAAATAGTGTACATAATACCTCATCTCAGAAATATATATATATATATATATAAATAATATAATGTACGTGTGTGTGTGTGTGCATATGTATAGTTTTAATGTATGCTATATTTATGGGTAAAGGTGCTCAATATAAAGGATAGTGTATGTAAATATAAAAGTGGACACTGAGGTCAGCCCCAAGCAGTGAGTCTATTTCATAGTTGAATGCAATCTTCATGCCATGAAGATTGCTTAGATTGTCTGTTCACACTAGAAAGTTGGGAATCGATTGTTACTTTAATAAAACCATTTATTTCTTTTAGATGTGGTTACATATTAATATATTTATGTATTAAGTTAAGAAATTGTATATTTATTAATGTCTCACTGTAAATTTTTGACAACTTTTTAAGCAGTTTTCATCATTATCACTTTTAAACTTAAGTGTCAGCTTTGAACTTTGTGTTTATCTGTAAGACAAGTTTTATATAATTTCATAAAGGCTGACAACTAGTGTGGAGAGGATGCGAAAAACATTTCAATTTCATCAGAAATAAGTTTATGACTTTATAATTCTGGATATTTATGAAGATAAAATTCTCTAATCTTGTGATATTTTGTATTATATGAAGATCTGAAGAGATTTCAAAAATTATTTTAGATAATTTTTTTATGGCTTTATGGGGGAATGCTTGTCCATAAAATTGTTAGTATTTTAAAGATAAATTTGATATTTGTAAACTGAAATTAGTTTATCCAAAACACTTAAAACATCCCAGTATAATTTTGTCAAGGAGTTTATTTTTCTATAGATTTTAATCTGAAGAGTAAAACTGATTTTGTTTCATATGTTTTCTTGATAACCAATGAAGTTGTAATGTTGAACATTTGAAATAATGTTAGTTTTTTAAATGATGATACTTAAGAAAATTTTAAATACAATGGCAACTTTTAACTTTTTACCTAAAAATATTAAAACTAGCAATTTATCTTTTTTTTTTTTTTAAAACATGCTTTTGAGCAGCTACATAGATTACTAATTCATTTGGCTGAAAATCACTCACCCTTGAATCACTATGGCTTTTGAGCTAATTGAGGAACCACTGTTTTGATTTGTCTGCCAAAGAGGTATATGTCCTTTTTAAACAGCATACTTATGGAATGAACTATCATTAGTAGACAACCGAGGCTACTGACAGGGTGATATAAAATCTTCCAGGTAAATTTCCTTTCTGAAGCAATCTGCAGGACATGAACATAAGCATACGGCTCCCTGTTGTAACCAGACCTTTTCCTGCAGCCACTGTAAAAAATAAATCTGCCTATCTTGTATGGGCTTTCGTCTTCATCATGAAATTTTTTTATGCTTTTTCTCACTTTTCTCAGATGCTTTCTGTCTGTAACTGTCAGTGTGCTTGGCAGATGAAATGGCTTGGGTATTTTTTTTTTTTTTTTGCCTTTAGTCATTGTTTTAATCCAGATACGTCAGAATTTTGCATGACAATTTACAACCAGAGACTTCCTACTTAGAAAATTTGGTATATGACTATATTTAATCTGGCAGCAGTTACTTACTAAAATTCAAAGTACTTAATATAAAATTCGAAAACATTATTTTGTATTGTTTATGATGAGTTCTTGCTTTGAAAGCTTAGTAAATTAAAAAAAAATAGGGCCGAGTGTAAATTCTGTTTGTGAAAAAGCATGGAATAATGTCTTCAGTTATTGTCAAAGATAATTAAAAACAATGAAAATGATGGCAGACTAAGCAATTTATTTGTGTTTCTATTTTCTTTGGCATATTTAATCAAATCAAATTTATAAGTAAAACTGAGAAATTGAACTGTAGAAAGGAAAAAAATTGTTAAAGACAAAAGATTACTGAACTGATATATCAATCCTCTTATATGACAGTGAATGTTAGACACTTCCCCTCACAGATGAAGAAGAGACTTGAAGCAACAGAAATGTGATTCTACGGAATGATAGCTGAGAATACCATGGACTGAACATGTGAGCAATGACAAAGTTTTAGAGAAAATGGAAACAAAAAGGAAACTTATATTTAACATCAGGAAGAGACAGTTGAAATTTCTAGGGCACATAATGAGGAAAGAGGGCTTAGAAAATTTGATATTCACAGGATGGATTTGAAAGAAAGAGAGGACAGAAGCACAACACCTAACCTACCTAGTGAACTTGAGTAAATGGATGGCAGAGCATGGTTTAGGAGAGATAACAAAAAGATAATTTATTAAGAGCTACAAAGGACAGGAAATTGTGGAGAGAAGTGATTGCTAATGTCCTGAACGGACATAGCACATCGAAGAAAGGCATGTATAAATGTGGAAATTGGTCTTCAAATGATTTTGCATTGATTATTGACTGTGTTTAACTAAAAAAAAAATAAAAAAATTATAAAAACATAGTTTCAATGAAATTTAATGCTATGTTGATCATTGTTATACAAATAGTAAACACAACATTTTAGATTTAAGTTAGAGAAAAATGTATGAGAAAGCTCACTGCCTTGAATCTAAAATATTATTATTAAAAATATAAAGGAAAAACCCTGATAATCAAGGAAATTCGTATATCACTCGATTATATTATGACTTTTAGGGGAGAAGAGATGGATTCATACCTCTCCTAAGAGTATTTGAACATAAGTGAATGTAATGACTGTAATTTGAACTTGGCTCTGTGATTTCTCATTCCAAGCCACTATCAATTATGCTACCTCTGTGAATTTATGAAAATTATGAAATGTGTATTGTTACAGTCTCTTAGTCGGACTTTCGATGTCCGACATGATATAGAAAAATCGAGTTTCCTTTTTGCTGTTGACCAGTATCTATCAGCTGACCTCTCCTTCAGCTCAATGGTGAAAAGATGGGCTGACATCCTTTAATATATCTAAAATCAAACTCATAACATTTCATCACTATAGAGCAGACCCTAAATCAGCACCTATCCTTGTCTTGAACGCCTGGTGTATCTAAAGCTCACCCATAATCTCAAATGGAATGCGTATATTTGTGCCATCTCAAAAGATTTTGGAAGAATGTTTGCTTCCTTGTATCACTCCAGAAAATACCTAACTCCTGTTGCTATGTTTACAAGAGTCAGATCAGAGTAATGGAGTATTGCTGCCATATCCGGTGTTGAACCTGCCAAATCCTTACTCTTTAGCCTCAACAGAATTCAAAAGTGATTAT